ATAACATTACACGCACATTGGCCCTGCTAGTGAATTTAGTGCAGTGTATGAAAATTAAAAGCAAAACGTCAACCCTACCTACTGTTCTCTTGACTCTTCTATAAATTGCGTCTACTCTCTCGATGGTTGCTTTGAAATAACTCCGTCGAAAACGGATATAGAGGAGGAGGAAAAGGAATAAAATTAATAATAATAATAATAGTTTTAAAGTAAATAATATAAAAACGAGAGAAAAGTCTAAGAATGTACTTTAAAATATTTTTCTCGCTCAGTTATATACTTATCATTTTAAACAACTAATGTTTTTTTATTTTTTTTAAACTTTTCAGAATTTTTTTTTTCCTTTACTTTAACTTCTAAGTTCTAACGCTTCTACTTTTTTCTGTTATTTATTTATTATCATTTTCGTCTTATACATGTATATGTACACTCGTATAATATATTATACGTGCATAACTAAAACGTACTTTTATACATTATGCTCACGTCGATATATTATTATAATGTACAAGTTTTTAAAAACGTCTCCGCCCGTTTTCTTTTTTTAAATAAACGTCTTAAAGAAAACCAAACTACATGTGTGTTCGTTTCGTAAAATAAGTCGTATAAGCTTCAGTATCTATGGGTATTATGTCGAATATGGATGTAATGGAACGTATACGCATCACTAGGTACATAATGTTATACACATGTATTATTATCACTCATTATATCTTTATATGTTATAAATTATATTGTATCCGAAATATTATAATTACTTGGGACACTAAAAATTTTACAATAAATTACACTTCACGAAAATATTTTCCAGACTAAACTGGAAAAAAATAGATGGAAAACCAATCCTCAATAACTGCAGCAGTAGGCATGATAAAAGCTATTTATTTTAGAATCATATCTTGTACAAAATAAGTAGCTCGACTGAGACTTAACAGTTAATAATAAAGTAATGTGACGCACTTATAATATAATACCTATAATGTATAGGCGCAGGCGCGTTTACAACAAAACACTTAAATTAGGTAAAGATACCTAACTGTACTCGAGCGATATACTATAATATTATCGTCATTGTTGAGCGAAGTATCGATTTATATTGTATTTAATGCAAAGACTCGTCGAGATTGACGAGCAATCGTTTCGGGGCATTTCCGATGGTGCGAATCTTCAGATCCGACTGATTGCAGGAACCGTTGCCCGGAAGTCAATTTTGAAACGAGATTTTCGCCGGGAGAATAAAGGGGTCGCGTGTGTCTGCCGTGAGACGCGGCGGGGTTGATAATGTGCGGGGGTTGAGAGCTCCAAAATTGGTGTTGGGGGGGGGAGGAGGAGGTCGGTAACTGATACGTACATTTGTAACGCCCTCCGGATCGAGCGCGATAAATTCCGCAAAGGTTCTCAATCGACGGGGATATAATATAATATACACTCTGGAGATGTGGAATCCGGCGTTTCATTAATTTCCATACGCGTTATTTGTCAGCTCGAGCGAGGTTAGTGAAACGACAGCAAGACAAATGAATTCAATTCCGATGGTTGCCGATGGTTACTAGTAGTGGTTCTTAAATTTTGGCCCCGAGAAGTCTGTACACAACAACTGCAGTCTGCACGTTATCGACAAGGAACGCCACAGCGGGGCGAGGGTAGGCGGGCAGGCCACCCGTCCGCAGTTCTGTGCGGCTTATACAAAATAATATATATATTATTATAACATACATTATATATATATATAGGTAAGACCACCGCACGCTATAACTAACGCGTTTCGGGATTTGCCTAATGAATTACCTCCACCAAATCCTCCTCTACCTCCACAGACGTCGTAATCGCTCGGTGTAATGCAAAACACACACATAATAATGTTATATTATTATGCCCGTCGATCATTAGGTGTCGTTTTTTCGCCACGCTTCCCTCGGTTTTTTTTAACTCTCGTGCAGGGTAATTATTTGTAAATAAACCAAACGAAATTCATTTAATATTCATTCTTAAAACTAACTACAACTTTTTACAGTCAAATATATTTCATCCGTTGTGCATTTGCGTAATTTGTGAGCAAAAGGGTTTTTTTATGTAAATGAATGCGTCATAAAATAAATTGTTGAACTCTTTACTATACCTACGCAATAACAATATTATGCGCGTACAGCAGTACCTAAGTAATTAATATTTAAATAACAGATGGACCGTGAGGACGTTAAAATGTATATATTATAATATTATATACACTATCACTCTAATGTTTTTTTGGGCCATAGAAAATACACGACCAGTGTTCTTTTATTATCGATAAACATTCCGAGTGAAACGAAAACGTAATAAAAATAAGTCTAATTTTCGCACTGTTCAGAAAAACGCTTGTCAAAATATCACATAATATTACGACTGCGTCTGTTTTAACAACAACGTCTCAACTGCAATCAACTGTTGTTTTTCATAATATGATGAACCTCGTACGATATATATGTATTATATACATAACGATTATTGCGCACGCGCGTAAGTAGGTACTGCGAATTTTTAATATTTAAATTTCGGAGTACAAAAGACGTGTAGCGCGTAATTAGTAGACGGAACCGTCAGAGCGTTTTCATTGATGTCTATAATAACGCTCGCCGATGACTTAATCCTAATTGATGTGGGTTTCGGGAGATTTAAATAGTTGGCCAAGTACACACGCGTCGTGAGGGGGGTATGGTGCTAAAAGAGAAAATCAATAGAAGTGTCAGCCGAGAAAACGGTATATATCGCAGAGTTTCGATCAAAGTTCTACGACGACGAGCTTGAGTATGTCGAGATCGCGGAGGGGTCAAAATAACGTTTCGCTGCGACCCACACACACCCACACACACTCACGCACAGAGAGAGAAAAGGGCTTAACACGCTTAAGTTGTATGGCTCTAATATTATAAGCACAAGACGGGGGGGGGGCACGACGACTAGTGGACGACGAAGATCGTGTGGAAATCAACATCGAAATTATAATAATAATATACAACCACCGACAGTCGCGGATCCAGTCGGGGGCGGTAGGGGCGACTGCCCCCTCCCCGTTGTCGGTATTATTTAAATTTAATATTTTGTGTTATCCTATGTAATAATGTATTGTAATATTATTCAGTCACAAATCGTCGTATTTTATTTTAATAACACAGATTTATAAATTGTTGATAACAATATTATATGACTGATTGAGGGACGACAACCGTCGACTGGCAGCTGACGCGTGGTGGCTAAGCGGCTCATAGGGTTTTGGCCTAAAAATTTTAAATTGTAAATAATTGAATAAAGGCATTCAATTCAGCTTAAGAAAAAAAAATATTCATCATAGTTAATGAGCAATTATTGCATATTTGTAATATATATATAAATATATACTCGTATTTACCAGTAGGTAAATAGTAAATATATTTAGATATTTATAATCCGCCCCTCCCGTTTATGTAGGCTGGATCCGCGCCTGCCCACCGAGTCGTCGTAGCAGAAGATGCAATAGGTATTGAAGATTGACGCTCATCGCGGGATTAATAGTAATATTGACAAATCGATTACCATATTAATATGTTATTATAATATTTACCTACGACGCAAAATGTATACTTAATATGATCAAAACGGGTTAGGATGTCATACGATAGCAGCTGTGCTCACACTCGTTATTATATCATTGTTATTAGGTATATTGTGTGTGTGTGTGTGTGTGTGTGTGTGTGTGTGTGTGTGTCATCATTACTATTGTTATTGTTTTTATTATTATAATCATCGTCGTCGGGGTGACTTATAAGAGTCACAACGCACATTGTGCAAAAGTCGATACGATGTGTGTGTGTGTGTGTGTGTGTGTGTGTGTGTGTGTGTGTGTGTGTGTGTGTGTGTGTGTGTGTGCGTGTGTGTGTATAATAATATGTTTTTATGAGGTTTTGCAGTTACTTTTGCGAGCGGCCATTTATATTATGTTATTATGTTATATATTATTTAATAATTTATATCTCGACGCTGTCACAACATTCATATTTCAATGCGATTTCTCTTGTCGGCTACGTCCTTTTTCATATTATTTTATTTATCACCATTAGCCTTTGTAATTAGTCACGCGATTTGCAGGCCTCGAAAAAGACATGATTTATGTCGTATTGTTATACACCGTTGATCGATACCTAACAAATTGATTATAACATATTACGCGGCTGGTAATATGATTCGAGTCCCACACTTTTTGTTTTTAGTTTAACCATCTCCAAATACACGCTATTATAAGACGTGTGTGATGGTTGTTATAGTATATAAGTGTTGTCTTCGGTTCTGTTGAAATATTGAACGCAAATGAAATAGTAAATGTGAAAATCGAGGCGAGCTAATGTATATATTATACGAATAACAAATGATACGCGTGCAATAAAGATTCTAAATTGAACTTTTGGATTGACAAGGGTATACAGAATAAAATATATAAATACACGAAATAAGGTATACGTAACGGTCGGTCTCTATTGAAAATACATCAAAAGAGAATAGACTATTGAAATTCGAATTTATTGGCACTTGAAAATAGCGTAAATATAGTGAGATGAATATTTTTTAAATAAGGACACTTTTCAGCGTGAAAAAAAAAGGAAATGAACGCGTACCTACCCCCCATATAATATTGTGACATATTATATTTTAATACGTTTCTTTGCTAAGTGGGTATTATTTTTGATAATAATAATGATAGTAAATGAAAAGCGACCACTCGTATTAATGTTATTGTTGTTATAGTCGCTTTATTATAATACGGACCGCATGGAATACGTATCGCGTGTTATTATAACATCGAGACGCGTTTTAATAAGATATACCTACATAATAATAATATAATATTGAGCAGTATAAACAATAACAGCAATAATAATAAAAAGACGCTATAATATTTTAAGCAGATTAAAATATAAACACGAGAAACGAACGAGAAGTGCGCAGTTTAATGATATACAGTTACGCTTTATGTTAATTTGTGTAAATTAAATAAATTTGGCCAGCTGTTGGTCGTGTTTACCTATTTGCACTGGAAATGATAATGAAGGTTGAAAGTATTCGTATATTTGCATTTCTTTGTCCGTCCCCGTGGTTTTCCGAGTGTACGCGTATATTATGGTGCAAACGGAAAACGCGCCTTTAATCACTGAATCACTGAGCTGTTTATGTTTCCGAAGAAATTCCGTCGGCCTTCCGTGATGATTGTCTACTGCACAACAGGTGTTCATTGATCGTAAAAAAAAAGTTTTACCGAACTTGACCGAATTGCCGGCGGTCTTGACGTTTTTAAAGCTCGGTTCTTGATTTATAGCCCGGACGATATCGCACCGCTTTTCATATCGCCAAACGATTCTTTCAATTTTTAATTTCCGACACTCCATAACTGCTGCAGCTGCTGCAGTTTCCCGGCATATCCCCCCTATACATTATGTAATAACAGGCGAGTCTTAAATTTTTAATTTTAACGTTTCCAATCGTTTTTTATCATAATATAATAATATTGTATGTCATATTAAGTCGTAATCATTGATGGTTGTAATACTATTAGGTATCAAAATTCGATCTTCTCTATGGTATAATATCAGCTGCGTGTGCCGCGGTATTATGAAAAACAAAAAAAAAAAACCACCAATAAATTTACTGCAATATTACAACAGTATAATATTCTAATCGATCGATTCATTGCTTTCAGGCCACGATGCAAGTACGAAGATTTATACTCCTGTGCGGCGTGCTGGGCATGATCGATTACGGTTTCGGCTGTCAATTGTCCGAGTTTATGTGCGATACGGGCTATTGTGTAGCCTTGGACAAGTTCTGTAACGGCAACGACGACTGCGGAGACAAATCAGACGAACCACCATATTGTTCACGTAAGTCTTTTCCGAGTTCGTATAAATTACGAAGATAGTTATAATAATAATAATAATAATATTCTATGCATTATGCGAAACAATACAAACGAGACGTTTTCGCTTGGGGTAGAGTCAGATTTCTCCGCTATTGCGCTCGTGCAGAATATTTCGACAGGTAACACTATAAAACGAATTTCGCAGTCGTATGGGAATCGTAATATTATTATAAGGTTCGGATATGGTTTCGGGTTTGCCAGATAGAAACTTTGACGCGACACTTCGATGAATAAACGCAATCGAACATCGTTCACAAGCGTATAGTCGGCCTCGAATAATCTAATCGTTCGAGATGGGCGAGTTTAGGTGCCTGCAGACAACCCTTCCGCTTAACCGTCGTTTTTGACACTACACCCCAATTCCAGCAGAAACCTACGCGTATTATACGAGTACTTATTACCATATAGAAATCTTGGGTTTTCGAGGAACTGACGTACGATTTGAAGGTCGTTATTAACCGTTATGGAAATTATAACCATCGGCGTAACTATATAATTATGTCGCTGACCGATCAGACATTCATCAGGTAGGTACAAATTACAAGCAACAACCGATTTAGCAAGGGATAAACGGGTAGGATATTATGTCGTCGATACTATTTGAGAACACAGCGTCATCTGAATCACAACGTGTTCATCGAATAACATTATTCCGCGACCGCGAAGGATGTTTTTTGTAAGCCTATATTATAAGTGACGACTGATTAGCGATATTGTATTTAAACACCGTATATATAGGTATAAGTATGTTGTACACTTACAATTAATTTTAAGGAGAAGCCATACAATATATTATTAAAACAATAGTAATAATAAACTAAATCGTACGAAATAATTGTATTTCAACGCAACATATATGCATCGCTTGTCAATATTTAACATGGCTGTAATAACGGCGGAGGTCGACGGATTATTAATACTGGTCATCGGCCAACCATTTGTTGCACATGGACATCGACGATAATTATTACGTATTATTCTAATGCGATTTCGCAGATAAATATTATGATAATAGCAGCTCTCTATTTGGTCGTATAACTATTGTTTGAAACTTTGAACTATGTTCGGTCGAAACGGAATCATATACCAACATACCTATAAATATGTTATTCACGAAGTGTCCGGAAAGCACAGCCGGAGAACTCCACTGCTGCGTGGCCAACTAGAAGTCTTACAAATCGGTTACTTTTGGCAATTTTTACTTTATTAAATTCTATTTTATTTTTAAAACATCTCTTTTAATTTCGCTTTAATACGACCGAAAGCAGGGTAATTTCTTATGAAAAAAACTTGTTTACCAACAATCATGTATATATATATATATATTATATCGATTGTAGCTGAACTAATAAGTTTTTAATTAATAAGCAATTAAAGTTTTGATGAGCAGAGAACCACAACGTTTCCAGTCCGGCAGTGAAGCCCACACCTTGTAATTTTACTCCCCGCTCGCCTAAACTTTAAATGCTTATTAATAATAAAAAAAAACTTTTAGTTCGATATTCGACATCGACAGTTTTCTAAAAGAATTATTCTCAATTACGAAATAAAACAAAACGTAAAAAAAAATTAATACAAAAAATGGTTGAAATTATTTTTTTTTTTTGTTTCCACATAATGTATAATTTTTTATTACTTTGGCTACACAATTTATCAAAATGTAGGTAGAAATGGTGGTTTTGAGCAAGAATTTCGTACCAGTACTATAATAATATATAGGCAAAAGCAGCGGGAATACACGCAAAAATCGCAGTATTACTTAGATTCCTCGGGTGAGGCGTTGGCGTTTGGTGTCTCTGTATTGTCGGTGACTCGTCTAATATCATTTAGACCTGGTTCGGAGGGAGTCTCTTACCCCCCTCCCCTTAACTATAGGCGGTACCCGCCAAAGCGGCCATTTGTCACTATTTTTGTTTTTAAACTATTTTGTTCGATATTTTTTGTTATTTACACAAGATATACCGCCATCGCTCGTGCAGATATTAGGTGGGCGAACAGCACTGCTATAAGTGTGTGTATTCGTGTCAATTTGCTGACTGTTTGCAGACGAAACTTGCAGAGGTCAGAGCTGGGATTAGTATACTCTCAGCGATCGAGCGACGTTCAATCAACGGTCGCGATACGTCTGCTGCGCCATCGTCGGACGTCGATAAAATACAATAATAACCGTCGACCATATAGAGATACGTTCCCCATACCTAGGTATAATAATATGATTGACCGTATCGTGGATTCGCGGTTCAACACGGGTCTTATGCGCCGAGTTAATAATATAATATAGACCATCAATGCAGCTCTCGTCGACGTATTCGTATTATAATAATATTATGTCGGGGACTGCCGATGATCCGCGGGACTTGGTACATTTTACAATGTCTGTCCTCTCTATATCAAGCACGATATATATATATATATATATTTTTTACGTCATGTGTGTAAAAAATGAGCAGCACAAATATGTAATTTCGATTCCGCTTGGCCGGCTGCTCTGGCATTGTGTCCTAATAGTACACACAGCTCACGATCGATTCCCGACCACTGACCCAGTGGTTTGTTCACCAAATTTATTACGTGCACAAATAGATTGTTGGAATGTGTCCAGAACAAATTGTCAGGTTTCGTGTAGAGTATATTATATATTATTATATTATACACACGTTAGGAACGAATCAGCCACCTCGTGTTTGTGAGCCTGCAATAGCGACGGAAGGGTCGGGGTATTTATGATGGAAGTTAAAAGTGATGGTGGCGCGATGAGCGAATTTATAGATGGCCCCTCTCTTCGGGGAGGAGGTCAGGTTAGTGTTGACGGATTTTTATCGGACAATTTCAAGTATAGTTTTCCATATTTCCATATTATGATCTGATTTTTTTGCACCAACACAATATTAACCGAGTCGTACGGTTTCTAAACAATGTACAACTAGAACAGTAGTAAGTACTCCTATAAAGTTTAAGTAAAGACACAATATGTATTATCAAATGTCACACATAAATGTGTGACTAAATATAACGAAAACGTTAGTAATATAGAAACGCCTAAATATAATAAGCAGTTTGGCACAAAAAATGAGATTTCTATTTTTTCTATTAATTCATGTAGGATTTATAATACAACTAATAATATATTGTAATGTAAAACAAAATTTAAGCCATTCTTAAAACGTGTACATTTAAAAAATATTGAAAAACTGTAATATTAGATACCTATACATCAATTCGACAATTAATATTGTGAACACTTTAAAACCATATTATTTTCTACCACATGCCCAGCTCATCGGATGGTTGCAAATAATTATTTACTAAACCTATATAATAATATTATCTGTTTCAATATTTATTTTAACTGATTCATCATAGTTATTCGTGTATAAGATTCTACATATTCACTGTATTATTATACATTTATTTGCAAAACATATCTAAAATATAATATATATCATTCTAGTAAATAGTCTTCTTTAGGACTTTTTCGAATAAAATATAATTAAGTCTCGACTCTCGTCATATGCATATATTATGTCACTCAATCCGATACGTTATCCTATTACCCATTTCGTGTAACGCCTAAAGCAGCTGTAATATAATAGTAGGTATATTATGTCGACTTGAATACACAAACGAATATTAAGAATGAAAAAGACGCGTCGTCGTAGGTGTAATATAACGCAAATGCTGAGCTTTTCGGGCGATAATTTATTACAACATTCGTTAAACTTTTCTTGTAGCACATACCACTCGTGAACTGAAACGGGAAAATAATCGCATTATATGCTCTCGTCGCCGGCAATCGTAGGCGATATTATGCACATACACATTACACTATATACCTACTTATTATACTGTACAGATCATAATTATTATAAATTATATAATACTCATCAAAGTGTTTCGCCAACTTGGTCCGCGGTTAACGTATAAATTACCCGGTTGGAAAATGACGAACTAACGAATAAAATACGTACACTTAAAACTGTAATTTGCGCGCAACAATGTCAGAATATCTATTTAAATAATAATAATATTATATACACTTTATGCATAGTACGTTGTTCGCGTTATTTTGGATACTTCGCTCACCGAGTGCGTGGTGACATTTTAAAGTGATATATATATTTTTTAATATTTATATAGCATATTACATAGTACTCCTGCAGCAGTGTACAACTGTCCACGTTATGTCACTCGCGACTGAAATTTAATTTCGTTTTACAAAATAATAATATTGTATCGACGACGTCATATCGCACTCAATAAACAAGGTGACATATCGTATATTATTGGCACGACGACGAGACAAGTGCGTGTGAAGTAAATTTATTCAATATTTTACACGCAGCGACAGTGCAAACAACGGTTGTACCAGTTGTAGTTTTGTACCTAGGTATAGGTATAGTGGGCGAGCCGTGGAGTTCATGTTATAATATATTATATTGATCACTATAATATTATAATATGTGGACTGCAGCAGTATATTATATTGTACGGTTAGAGTTGAAATTATATAGCGGAAACAGCGGATGCGGATGCGGATAATAATATTATTATAATACATTGGCCGAATTCACACAATTAGGGTGGGCGGCGGCGAGGGGTGGTGGCGCGACGGTGCACATCCAGGGTGCTTAGCACCGGATAAGTCAAAATTAGCGACCCATAAAACTAAATATTTAATTTTTCATTATACAATCACTGATTAAACATTATGCTGTGATCCTGTGACCATAATATATATATTATTCAATTTCATATTATTAATGAACTGTGCGTGGATACAGAGATGATTTACCAGCGGGCTAGAGCCCACCTGCCACGGTAGGTACGGAGAAAATATTCTAAAAACTGCAACAATTTCGTCGTTTCAACCAGTGTTTCTTAAACTTTAGAGACCACGGAACACCGACCAATAATATTTTTTTATGCGCAACCCTAATGAAAATTATCTCCACAAGAAGAGGGTACACGAAACATAGGTAGCGATAATCGGCATCTAAACTATATAATCTAAAATACTAAATACAGAAACATTTTATCCTGTAATTGAGTATTAAGAAATATTAAAATATAATAGCATAGATTTTTTCAAAGTAATTTTTTTGAATATTTTGGAAAACCCACTCGAGTTTAAGAAACACTGGTCGGTGTGTGGCACTCGAAACAGATCACATCACGACCGTTAGACTGTTCGTATAATATAATATAACGCACAGACGCGTCAAACATTATATAGTTTATGCGTTTCTACATCGATGTCACGGCGAATGGTCGCATCCATATCGTTCCGGTTTTATCGAAAGCTTTATTTAGGTTCAAAAGACGAGCGTGTTGATCCGATAAACTTTGGTTTTGGGACAATTAATATTGAATTCGTGCCAAGTGATCTAAAAAGTTCGATTATAATACGTATGTACGAGTATTACGGTATTAAATAATAAATCAATTCTAAGCACATTTAGTTTTCTTATAACTAAGTCTATATTACGAAACAAGTACATAAACGAGTACGAAAACAAATATTATGCAACATAATAATAACGGTGAATCAAGAATATCATGGAATGCAGACCATGCCATCAGTGGCGGTCAAGTCGGAGTCGGAGAGCTGGTGGTCGACGGGTGCAGGCAGTAGCTGCCGGAAACGTGGTACAGGGACCCGGACGTCTGGACGTCCATGGCTAGACGACATCAGGTAGGACGTGAACGTGCGCACCGTGATAGGCCACACGGGCGAGCCCATATCCGTGGCCCGGCTGATCGGGAAGTCGTCGGGACGGAGATCACTCGGTCGCCGTGGAAATCGAAGGCCAACAGTTCCCGAACTATTAGCTTACTCAACTACCAGTTCCTGTGGCACAATCCTCCGTGACCGCAGACTAACCTAACCTAACCTAACGAGCTAACCGGAAGTGAATCCGGCGTCACAGGAAGCGGGTTGAAAGTCACCGAAATCTGGTCGGCCGTCACAGGAAGCGGGTCCGACGACGTCACCGAAATCTGGTCGGACGTCACAGGAAGTGGGTTGGAAGTCACCGGAAGTCGGTAGGACGTCGCAGAATTCTTCCGCGACGGCAGCTCGCCGAACATGGGACCGGTTATAATCTGTGACCACCATGATGACATCGCCAACGAAGACAGCAACGTCTTCGAGCTTTTCAGTCGACGGCTGTATAGTGTATAATATCCTCATCCTGCATCCGATTAAAATTCATTTTTGGTATAATATGAGATGCGAAGATTCATGGTAGGTTTCCTCTTAGGTGTGCAATTATGTCACCGTTTACAATTACTAAGACACTCGTTTCGATAGTGACGAGTGACCAACGGTTTTTCGATTGGCATTTTCGTAATAATTATATTGTTGTTGTTTTGATTAAAGGCCAAACGAAATTACTATTCCCTAAAATAATACAGTGAAATCTCGAGGGATCGAATCTATCGGGGACAAAAAAAATTATAGTTATTGAAAAAATTGTATTTTTAAATGCAGGGACCAAGACATACCTTCGAGTTATCAAAAATTCGACTCATGTTTACAGTCGTTCGAGTTATTGAGGTTCAGCTGACAAATACGTTTTGATTTTTCAACCAACGATTTCTGAAAAAACGATTCAAATGTATTTGAGAGGCTGGGCATAATACGAGTTAAAAAGTTACTTTTGATTGAGTTACATGATTCATTATTATTATTTTTTAAGGGATTTCTTACTTGGCAAGTTAATATCATAATATCCATTTCTCCATGATAAGTAGGTACTGAATTAGATACAAACCAGTTAAATGTTTGATGTGAAACCGGCTGAGACCATCGGCACGAGGATATTAATATATATTACGATGGTTAGTTTCACTCGGGTACCTATATGTATTGAAATTTATGTATACATTTATGATAAGTTTGAAATTTTATTATTTATTATAAGATTAACTACTATACTTAGGACTATAAATTTGGGGCTCGCCTAAGATTATTTTTCCGTATTATACTAATCAATAATCATCTTTTTTTTATTTAAAGATACACTCTAGGCGTATACCTCAAAACCCTCTCTATTCTCGTACGTAGGTTAGGTGTTTTTTTTCTACTCCCCCCCTTCCCGGCCGGTCAAAAGGCAAAAACCAAATGATTCTCCCTCCCCCACCACGAGTCGTATCTGTATATTCTAAACACCCGCACTCCAAAGATGTATATACACCACTGACGTATAACACTAGATATAGGTATTACAATATATTATATAAATGTGTGAGATTACTTAAAAGCCCGACCTTTGCGCTTATCACAATAATATATAATATTGTCCGATCGTTAATCACGTCATGCCCGTGTGCGGGGGACGTCGTTCGAGTTTCGGTGAACATATTATTTTCAATATGGTTACCGTAAATCGATATAGTACCTACATTATTATTATTATTATTATTAAATTGCGTCGTTATAATAATCGCAAGTCGTCGTCGCGTCCTGACATTATACGTTTGGCCGGAGTTCATATTTTTCGCCATTTCCGCCTCGTGATTTGTTACGTTTATATCGGTCGACGTATTTAATTTGTTTTCCGACGAAAACTTTCGATCGCCGTTGACTTATTGCCCGGTATTTATTATTTATATTTTAAGCGATTCTTTGACGTCACACACGCGGGTACCTATATATAATATGATATTCTTGGCGAACCGAATAAACGCACACGTCATATTGTTATATTATTTAGTCGCGTATAGTGTTGCTGTTAAAAGTTTGCGTTTTAAATCATAAATTCACAAATCGTATAATATTACCTATACTTTTCAACGACCAAGCATACAAGTTTTCCAAAATCCGACCATACTGCTTATAATATTGAATTTAAAGATTTTACGTGACTGCATAGTATTATATTGTGCGCATTGTAGTTTCGACTCGAATGGGATCGTATTGATTTCCTATTGTATTAAAATAAAATATGATTGCTTTGTAACTACACTTAACGGTTTAATATACTTTATGGCGCAGTGTTCAAATGACAGAGAGTTCTTCAGCGTTACCCTCCTCAATAATATTGCTATATACTATTTTTGATAATTTAATTTGACGTTTAACTAAAGCGTTAGTTAAATCCCTCCTGTACCTACCTAGAAACTCATTTATGAAAACATTTCAAATATCGTTAACTCTCATGGGAGCCGTGGCGTACGTGCAGCATGTGAAATAAAATTTGTATTTGTATAAATATAGAAACAAACGTTTTCGATATCATTATATCGTATCGTAATATTTTGTGTAGTCCATTTTTTTAAAATAATTTTAGCGTCACAACTTTATGGGACTAAAAAAATCAAAGTCGACTAAACGAAACCCGTTCAAAGTTTAATCATAAACGCATCGAATATTTTATATTAAAAACCAACCACCTTTTCCACTATATATAAACTAAAAGTTATATTAAGGCTCTCCTCTGCAGTGTGACTGCGCGTCATATTCAATCAGACTTTAACGGTAATAATTTATTATGTGCTTATCATACGAAAAGTTTTATGAACAAATACGTAACATATCGTCGTTATACCTTATAATATATTTTATAACTCATAGAACATTGTGCATACACGATTTATTTCGAGAATTATTATTAATTTAAGATAAACGATATTGAATATAAAAAATAACCATGGGTGGGGGAGGGGAATCAAAACTTTGTTCCATGCCATGAATCGTGGAAAGGGAAAATTACTATATTATATTATCATATCAACACGTTTAATATTAACATATAATGGTAGGTACCTCTTTAATATTAATTACTCTACTTGATAAATACGCGCATAACCTGTTATGTAGAGCTTTGAAGTTTTCGTTATTTCAAACTCGAAACCTTAATATTGTAGATAGTTACCTAACACGCGACTTACTGAAAAAAATCATAACACGATTTAATTTTTAAAAAAAAAAACCAAGTAAAAGTTATTTATTTTTATCAAAAGCATGATATCGATTGACGAGGAGATTGGAAAAAATTAAAGTTTGTCCACCGCGGTGTTCTTTACAGAAATATTAATATATCTTTTTTGTGTTCACATAAGCCGCGTCGTGCTCGACGGTGCCGGCAAAGCGGAATCGGTTTTGATGAAAAACTTATCGACCGCAATTAAAGTCGTAGCGGAGAGATGCTTTTATAAAAATTGGACGGGTTCTCCTTAATGTTGCATTCATATAATATCCACAAAAGTTATTGTAGCTCTTCAAATGATGATTCAACCGACCGGCTGCACACCCCACCACACGCTTTTAAATAGACATACCTACCCCTAACCTTTGAAGTAGTTTCTCGGTAAGACACGCGATTTATTTTATTCTCGGGCCGCCTATACATGTAATATATAATATTATATGTTTTATACACATATACCAGCTCTTACCTATATATACATATATGAAATCCAGCACATGCACAACACACGAACCCCGGACGGGGGTGAGCGGCCACGGGGAAACGAGAGAAAGATGCGGAGTATGTGTATATATATTTATTTATATATACAGAAGCAGGGGTTGCTCGGAGGTGAAGAAATAGGCGGAAAAGAACGGTGTGGCGCGATCGGGGGAGGTATCTCTTTAATTAATGGGAAACGGTAAATATCCTCTACGACCCTCGTCGGTCGGTCTGCACGGGGGCGCAAATCGCACACACCGATCTGGTAGTGTGTGTGTGTGTGTGTGTGTGTGTGTGTGTGTGTGTGTGTGTGTGTGTATACTTATTACTTATATACTTAAGGCGGTATGTATACATCAACCGTATAAGTCGTATACGCATTATATGCGTCCAATCGCGCGCGCATACATATTGATGGGCAGAGCGTTTCACCTAAGTAATTTAATTAACGTTAGAAACTTCCGGAATTGCCGCGGCGGCGGTCGGCTCGCGAAAAACAAATAGACTTTTCCATTTAGGTAAACGCGCCCCCTCCCCTCCCCCCACGACGTCGATGTCGCGCCCCGCGGCCGGCACTCGGAGGATATTGCTCGCGATTTATCCCACCTCGGCGCACGGTTTTCGGCCCATTAATTACAACGTCAGTACCTGCTGCTATACACCGCTGCATCGCGTCCATAAACATACACATATATTATATAGACGTATTACAATGCATATAGTAGGTACTATAGCAGACACTCGATCAATGGACCGCGGTAGTGGTCGTCGTCTTGCCGGCGACCTTTTCGTGGGCAAAACGCGTTATGTTGTTCGATGGGTGCGCACACATATTATTATAATATTATAATGTACAGAGATGCAAGCGATGTCGGTTTTATCATAATTTACGATTCGGATTCGGAATTTGTTCGTCCGGCCGAGGAGAGAAATGAAACTACGATGCTGCGACACATCTCGCGGGGCCCCGACTGCAGGAAATAACAATAATAATAATTGTTTGTCGATGTGTAGAGAGAGAGAAAACAGAATGGGTTCCAATTTAAACCCATGATGGAATATTATTATTACGCATGTCCCGCGAAAATGTGTTCGGATTTAAAACGAGTTAGTTTTATATTTTATTTGTTTTATGCGATGCAAGTGTATTTTCATAAACTTATCCCATTATAGCATAATATATATTTACTAGGTACCTACCTGCTGCAATTGTATGCATATATATATATAAATTTATTTTACAACATGTGTGGATAAAACATAAGTTTACAAACATAAAAATGTATTTAATGAAAGTCGTACTTACACATTTATTTGCCAACTTCAGAAACAGTTTATGGTAGATTGCACATTATTTTACATCCAGAATGGTGTGTAATACGGATACAGACTGTATAATGTTATTTTGATGAAAACAAAATTCAAAAAAAAAAAAAATATTCAATAAATAACAGTTATATTTTCATTTAGAAAATATTTCATTACAAATATAATATATTTTAATATTTAACATTTTAACTAAACGTTTAAAATCAATTAATGACATGACGATATTATTAATCGTAATTTTTCTGGCCTCGTCAATGCCAATTTATTTATTCGATTTTGCTTTTACAAATAATTTACTCCAGTGAAACGCTACCCACATTGATATAGATATGTAATTATTAAAAAAAAAAAAATACTTACTTATAATGCTGCTCGGAAAACAGATGGAGTAAATTAGAGTGCAGATACCGCTTTCTAACATCTCAACGTTATTATATACTTGCGTTGT